CGTGCTCCGAAAGTCTACCGAGAAAAATAAGGGTGTAGCGCAGTCTTCGCACCAATAAAAACCAATTCGAATAAAACATCATCTACAACTTCTCGACGTACTGTGGTCTCTAAACATTACTTACTAACAATAATACGATCAWGTACAATAATATAACAATTATTTTTAAAGAATTTACAGAGTAAACCTCTCTCTAGGCAGCCCGGGTATCAGAGGGAGGAACAGAGAGAAAGGAAAAACTGGGAGAGCCTTCCTTTTTCCCTGCATCTCTACCACAAGACTTTCCATATCTTCTTTTCGAGATTCTGATACTCAGGCTACTGTCTACGTCATATCCGGATGGGACTCCTGGGTTTTCTCGATGTCCGAATGCCCGTATACGAAGAGGACGCACCAATACAGCAACCTGAACCAGCAAGAAACTGAGGCATTGCTTGCCATCCTTGCAGCTTTATAAGGTGTTTGTTTTACGTGAAGTAAAAATACTGAAACTACAAATACAATAAATTGACATTATTAATTTGCATGTGATTCAAAGAAATTACTAATTTTTTTTTAGTTTACTAAATTTTATATATGTCAGGAACTTCAATTTTAGCAGTTTGCAAGTTAATTTTCATAAATGGCTGAACTAAACTAAGACTCCAAMTATGGATCTTTTATTGAAACTGGTGCGAAAGTATCCTTAATTTTTGAAAGAACAGACCGTTCCGAAAAATGTGATACTGGACTGAGTTTCTTGATACTTTCGATATGTATCAAGACYGTKATTATCCTTTTAAATCATATCCTTGACATTAGGTCAGATACGCAGGGTTGAGTAGTAGATTCAAGAGTTTTATAAGAAGAATCAGAACGACATTCTCGAAAATTCACCACAATTTGAATTTAATATTAATAATAATTTAAGGTGGGGGTTAGGGTTCGGAYTTGTTGTTTAGTGTCGTTTCTTGTTGTTGTTTTCCTGTTGTTTTGATGGAGCGCCATTCAGAGTTTGACGAAATAACCTCTATCTTATAACTGCATTCCACTTACATTTTTGATATTCCAGATTCCTCGCGATTTCTGCCTGGTTTCTGGGGTGCTTTAGCTTGAACTGGATCAGCTTCTTTATCTTCGTCTCTGAAAATAATGATAATGATTTCGAAAGAGTTCTCTACAACAGCACGAAACCAAATAATAAAGTAAATGTTAGGTTTTCAACCCGTCGAAGGCGACCGAGCGGGTCCTCTCCAAAGTGGTAACGTTGGGCGCCTCTCTTATCCAAACTAATCCAAACTTTACCCTGTGGATGTCGGTATCCATTTTAAAACTGGGTTAAGTAGAGGCGCTGAGAAAGTAACAGTGTCTTTACAACGTGATCGCTCGGTATCAGGATCGAAGCCAGACCTGTAGACCCTAAGGTCGACCAGTGCCTTAACCATTAGACCATCAACTTTCTCGATCTTTCTCTCTCGAAACCAATTACACGCATTATGTATGAAGATAAATCGTAAGTAATTCTTTTGCTTAGCAAAACATAACAGCACATAATGATCTCCTCGGGTCAAGTCACGATTGTCTGGCGCGCTCGTCAGGACTTTTGTATTTGATTTTCCCGCGCTTTTTTTCCAACAATTCCGCGGTTGCTTCTTGTAACCTAAGGTAGCCTTTTCTTCTCACTTAAAACGTTAAAACTGCCATTTGTACTTACTTTGGTTTGTACCATGACAATTCTTCACGAAGCGAAAAACACTCTTCTTTCAACTGATTTCTTTCGGTGAGAATTTCTTGTAACTCTGCTCTAGTATACCTCGGTCTGTTAGGATCTCTTTCCAGAGTTTTTGRTCCTTGTTGGTTATCATCGTCTCCCGAAACTTGAATGATATCCCAGCCGTCTTCTTTTCGCTTCACGACCTCAGTAGCAACCTCTTTGGGATGATCATTCCCAAACTGGGCGTCCATTTTGGCAAGTTCTTCTTCAATAGAATCACCTACATCATAACCCGTCGTTTTCTCTTCGGTTTCTTGATCATCCTGCTCATTTAGTTCAAGTTTAATTATCTTTAATTCTGCTTCATATTCAGCTTTTTCTTTGGCGACAGAGTTCATTCTAGCTTGCTGTGAGGCCATGTTTTTGCGAAGCGATTCGTTGATGTTGACTAGTCTTTCTACTTGCTCTTCCATCTTCAAGAGAGAGAAAAAAAATAAACAACTTGTTAGCAATTGAAGATGCATGCATACTACATGACGAGCAAAATTGTGAAATTCCGTATCCTATTCAAGAATCTTTGGTACAATTTAGACCCTATACAAGACATAAACCAGCAGATATGGTGCTCTCATAAATTGATACGTCAATATGGCATTGATTTTTCCTTTCGACTTTGTAGTCTATACTATAGATAAATATTGAAACCCTGTATAAGACATGGAAAACGTAGAAAATCACCCTATAAACCCTATAGACGCGAAATGTCAATGGTAAACCCTATTCGAGACGCGAAAGGCCCCCGCCCCTGGGATTTACTATGCCAGTTTCAGCATCATGGCCATGCACTAAAAGGTACATGTAACTATTGCGGTCTGAATCTATACTCACAGCATCGACGTCTTCTTTTTGCTTTTCAATCTCAAGATTTTTACTTCGTATGACATCGCGTTGTGTGTCTATAGTTTCTTTCATCTTCTGCATAACCGCGGCGTCTCCTGGTGCACTGACATACGTCATGACTACACACAAAAAATATGCAAACGCTTTTGTTTAAAACTCGTTTGAAAAGTATTTCGCAACAACGGCACAGAAAAGTAAACTGCCCACTTTAAATAAGAGTGCAAAAGTGAAATCTTTCATTGAGTTTTCTTAATTAACTCGAAGAAGGGGGATCAAAAGTTATATCAAGGTGCAGGTTAGAGGGGTTAAATTTCCTAAAAAACTTTTTTATATGATATCTCAGCAGTAGGAGTTTGATAGCAGTAGGATTTTGATCGATTTTGTTGCAGATCTCAATCCCTAATATCGGAATGAAATGTATTATACATGATTTTTATAATCAAAATTCTTTCTTCTTTCCTAAATGCCTTTTTCTAAGAAATATCAAGATTATAACAAACACTACTTACATACATTGTAACAATGTTGTAGCCTTGGTACTCGTCATCTCTATTTTAAAGCTCCGATGACGCTAGACATTATTTTATCCGCAAATGTTTTCAGAAAATTCCGGATGCAACGTAGAGGTTGTCCACCTTCTTACCTGGCTTTTCATTTGCCGATATTTCGTATTCCAATCTTAAACGTTGGTTTTCTTCTTGTAACTTTGCTACAGTACTCTTAAGACTTTTTAATTCTCCATCTTTTTTAGCGTGGAAAAGTTCCTGTTAAGTAGAAAAAACAGTAACTAAAACAAACATTCAAAATGTTTTCATTTTGAATTTGACCTTGTCTGTCAACGCATGGGGCAATAACGTCTGATGCATCGCACACAAAAACTCAAGAGAATTATAAAATTTACTTAATATTTACGATTTTATATTCCTCCTAAGTTTTCATTACAAGTAAATCCTATTATCTAACTATCAATGGAAAGAGCGATCAAATATATTGCGGTGTTTATACAAAAGAGCTCAGTCATGACAGCGAGAGGGAGAGAACATCTGATGTTTGTTTAGTACTTAGAAATCACGGAATTCTGAAATTGAATTGTTCAAAGGAAATTCTATTACAATAGATTACAAGAAGTCGATTTATAATGATTATAGGAATGTCCTGAACAAAGGGCACCCAGCGGTAAATACTATATAATTAACATCAGTTACACGAAGTTGAGAATGTTCTACAAAGCTCTTTCGTGGGCATGAATCTTAGATTTACTCAAGCTTCAATCTTGAACAAGTCATCTCTCTCAATCCGTGTCAAGATGTCCCTAAATTGATAGAATTTCTGACTTACTTAGAATGCTAATTCAAAGTCATTTATATGTATCGTCACATTATATTGGTGAGGGGTCTCCCGTATTGTAATTTACCCCAATTCATCATCTAAAAGTACATGACCTAGCATGCATATCGATCTTTGAACGCAAACCTTACCTCGTCAAGCTTTCGCCTATGACAAACTTCTCTCTTAATCTCGAAGTAAAGTCTTTCATTTTCCATCTTTAGCTCTGCAATCTCGAGTTTTTCCTTTTCTCTCTCGCAAACCAGAAGCTCCAGTTCTTCAAGAACTCGGACGACTCTTGGCATAAGATCGATGACTGCTTCATGTCCGTACTGGTCAATAATTTTCTCTATATCTTGACCAATTACAGACGCTTGTTCGTACACTTCTGCCGTCGTTAACTCAAAAGCCATCTTGTGTTCTCTGCGGCAGGGAAGTACGCAATCTCCTCGTCCCTGTGAAGCTTATTTACAAAATTTATATACAACTTGTTGCTTTCGATAAATCATGCACTATGATTGGCCAATGAAATCATTTAATACTGGCAAAATATTAACTGACCAATACGAATTGAGCTTATATAGTATCCCAAAAATGCAAAAATAAGACAATATTGATTGAGAATAATTAAGTAGCTCATTATATGTGTTATTGTGCTCTAATTAGTATATGCTATACAATATTTTTGATTTATTTGATGATATATCATGTTGAGTTTCGCAACAGTTAGTCATTCTTCATTGCTACTGCAATCTCACTGTCCAGCAGATATTCTTACAAAATTTCAAAATGGCGGACGACAGTGAATAAGAAGTTCTTGTTGTTTTAATTTCTTTGGCTTTTTACCCTATGAAGGAATAATTTTTGTAAATTTATCAAATTAAAAATGGATCTTGTTTACAGCACTGTTTGGGACACCGAAAAAAAGCCACAGAGAAGGTAAAAAGAAGAAAGAAAATGTTTGATTTKCTTGATTGTCATTTTGACATTTGGCATGCTTTCAAAACTAGATAAAAGCTTTATACTTTATATTGTGTTTAGTATATATGATCATGTTTTGATCCCCATCACTCCAGGAATCAAACGCAAAAATTGATCTTGGTAGTTATTTAAAATTAAAGTTCTGATGAATTAGCTTAAATCGAGTTAAAGTTAAGAAGTTATTTGAATAATCTATTTGATATTTTGCTACAGAGATTTATGCGGAAAAGTAGCTGTTGACTGGTCTAACAGAAACCTGATTGTGTTCTCTACTGGTTATAAAAACATACAAAATAATGATGATAAAAGTAAAAAGTGAGTATAATTTGAAAATTCATTACTATTTTCCTTATATTAGTCTTATGGGAATACTTATCTATTTTTGAAATTAAAGATCAATTAATCAGTAATGCCACCCTCCGCCGTGATCATATGATAAATAAATACATACTTGAAAAGAATTCAGATATGACATGTACATGCATGTACATCATGTCCGTATCAGCTTGCTGTGGGACATGATGGACACTATATACATGCATAAATAATCCATGCCATGCTGCTATTCTTCTCTATGCAATGCTAATGTTTCATTGCTGTAGCCAGCTGTACAGTTGTTCCATTTTCAACCATTTATAACAGAAACTGTACCTCTAGAATAGTCCCCTCAAAGCAGTTTTGGATCACAGAGCCAACCACAAAAACAGCTGCATGGAGACTACCTCTACTATATAAAAACACAATGAGCAATAGTGTTACCCCAGGACAAATTTCTCAAAAACTAAAAGTCATTGCTGCAACCCCATGTATCAGATTGATGTGAAAGCATTGSTGATCAATATAAACTTTGATAATCAAGGCATTCATTACAATCAAAGCATATATAWATATACTTTCCTGTTGAATGAACTACATGTATGTGCTTATGTTTCTTTTATTCTTATCTATATTTCAGGAAGTATTTGAATAATGCTATTCATATTATTGATCCAGACTGCCCATGGGAAACATATAGGTAAAAACTCCTTAAAACCAATATAATATGACATTGAATTTATAGCTAACATTGTTATATTTTCCTTTGTTATTTTAGTTTTGAATCAAAACATAATGATATCATACATCAAGTTTTGTGGCATAGTTCTGGTTCCAAGCTTCTTTCTGTAGACATAGCTGGACAATGCTGTGTTTGGACAATGAAGGTACTTATTGTCACTATCCATCGGTCCATCCTCAGTCCACTAGTTCATTTTTCTAGTTTTTATTTGTTTTTTTTATGAGCAAGTACATGTGTATGCAGTCAGATACAACTCATTTTGTCCAACTTAATTTCCAAAAATTTAAAATAAGCATATAATAACAACTTCCCTGTGAATATAATGTTGTCAATATACACTGTGATCACATAATCAACTGACAGATGCTTACTGCATAAACTGGAAGTGAATTAAAAACAATAGGAAACAAAGGGATGGAAACATGCAAGGACTAAGGGCCATATAGGAGCTAAGGGAGGAACTGACTTCTCAAAAAATTATAAT